TGGAGTTTGGATTCAGAAAGTGGTTCTGTTTCATCCCAAATTGTGACCTTAAGCAAGCTAGTAAACCTCATTTTTTTCATCTGTAAAATGGGGTTAATAGTACCTTACAGGGTTTTTATAAGGATTAAAGAAAATATATGTAGCATGACTAACTATGATTATTATCTGCTTACTCATACGCAGGTATGCTGTCCAATAGCTATTTCTATTTTTTTATGTTTACTATATATGAACCATGTGCTAGCCCAGTCAGTCCCTATCTAGAGGCTTATAAACATTTACAATCATCAAAAACAAGCAAACAGACTAAAAAAACCCACTGTAAACACAGGCTTAAAAAAGTCTTTACAGATGGAGACATCCTCCTGTAAGTCTTCTATCTTTCTTTCTTTCTTTCTTTTTTTTAGATTGCCATTCCCCATCCTCAAGAAGGAAGGAAGGAAGGAATGAAGGAAAGAAGGAAGAAAGAAAGGAGGAAGGAAGGAAGGAAGAAAAGAAAAGAGAAAGAAACTCTGCTTATTGGGAATGAGGACAAGGAAGCCTTAAATCCAATGAAAGGTAGTCAGATTAAAGAGATTGCTATGGAATACATCTTCTCCTTTTTTAAGATATCAGAGCACTTAGAAGTGTATCTAAATAAGCAATCTCAAGAAGATTTTATATTCAATTATGACTATATTCTCATGTGATATTTTATAATGTTTCTCTAAATAAGCTGGTCCTTTGACCTGGTTTGCCCAGGACAGTTCCAGTTTATTCCTGTTACTCTGGCCTCATTAGTAACAGTCTCTACAATCTTTCACTCTTAAAAGTATCCTAGTTTGGACAGTAAGTACAATCATTCCAAGTAAAGCATTTTTATACTTGAAATTTCCTGAGAACTCAGGTTAGAGGCCATGCCATAAAAGGTATTGAATATTTTACCTACAACCTGAGTAAATTATACAAATTGGCACCTAGAGTGTGAAATGTTTTCGCAGGAAATTGTTCCAGTTAACATTCTATTATTGAGTCATAACACTGCAAAAGAGAGAAAGCAAAAAAGAAAGATTTACAGGAATGAGAGGACCAAAGCAAATGGAAACCTGCACCAGGTCGTTGGTGACCAGAGCAATACAGAGAACTTGGAGGTCGAGTGTGTCCATGCCATTACCTGGACGTTTTGGAAGCGCCTTCCCAAACTGATAAGAAATAGGAGAGGTATTTATTTTACTTGGCTGCAAAGTGATTTTTAAAAATCTAAATACTATGCAATTATTTTTCTAAAATGCTATTAAAGTTTAAAGCTTAGCTCATTTTGAGCATTTTGAATCCCCAAGTCCTATACCCTGGAGGTGAATTCATTGCATAGAATTAAAGGTTAACGTGACATGGAAAATATCCAGTGTCTAGACTGCTCTTCCTTTTCCCTCCTGTCATGTCTCCTTTCCAGTGTATCTACTAAATTTATATTATTTCCAAGAAGGAGAGAGAAACTGGGATTATGCTTTGCCCAATAAAAGCTGAGACTTCTGAATTAATTCTAGAAACATTTTTGTGAGAAAATTCAAATCTATTACTTTTTATAACTTAAGTTATGGAAACAGTAACTAAGTTAATTTGAACGTGAGCTTATGAAGTGTGAATATATTAATTTTTATTATGATGTCACTGGGTCACTTTAAATAGAGGTATAAACATTGTGCTTTTCAATATTATTTATTTACTTAGCCTTACCTCCACTGAACTTATTACTCAACAGGAAAAAAAAATGGATATCTTGGCATGAAAGAAAGACAGATAAAAAGAACAGATATTTGTCAAGGCCAAATACCAGAATGTAGATTAAGTCTAATGAGTTCTAGGAAATTATCATCACAAAATAATTGTGAATTATCGATTTGGGGTGTTTTTTGGTCTTTCATCAACTTGCCATAAGTAAGTCTCCATGAGTAAAAATTTCTATAAATTCTATGCTTAAAAAATATTCATCCTGAAGTCCTCTAATAATCCAGAGGCCCTTCTGTCATTAATCTATTTATATTTTCCATTGCTGCATATAAAGAGGCTAGTGTGTATTTCTTTCTCCATTTTTCAAACATTAGTCTAGAAGAACTTTGTGAAATGACACCTAAAGGCCAGGGTTATTATGAACATAAGAATGAAATCTTCTGTAAAACCAAACCCACCATCAGCAAACTCTAGAGACAGAATGTGTAAAATATGTGATGGACAAAAGCTTGCTACACTTAATACATGAGTTCTCACAAATCAAAAAATAAAAAATTGCTTCCCACAGGAAAATGGGCAAAGATTTGAAAAGCAAATTTATAAGACATTCAAAAAGCAAATAAGAAAAGATATTCAAACTTGTTGATAATCAAAGAAATTCAAGTCAAGTAACAATGGAATAGAAGGCTTTCTCCTAGTAGACGGAGAGGATTTTTAGAGTAAAAATGTCTCTAACTAATGCAGATGAAGGAAACAAGTCACTTTTGTACACTGTTGGTGAGCATGTAAATCAGCAAAACTTTTCTAGACAGAAATACGATAATATGCCTTAAAGATCTTAGAGATGCGCAAATCACTTGATGTGGAAATTCTTCTCAGGATTATTTCTTACGAATTGTTTGGAGAAAAGCACAGGGTATTATATATAAAGACACTTGTCACTGGAATTCACACTTTGGCAGAAAATAGAAAAGAGTCAACCGTTATCAATACTGAGTTAGTTAAATAAATATGGTATATTTATAGATGGAATATTATTCATTAAGAATGTAAATTTATATTTATTGACATACAAAAAGGCCAATGTATATTTAATTTTAAAAAGCTAGTTACAAAAAGAATGTTTGGGGTACAATCTCATTTTTTAAATTTTTTAAAAGAATTTTTAAAAGAAAAATATACATCAAAGTTATATCAGCAATCATCTTTCAGTGGTAGGATTATATAGAATTTTATTTTCTCCTATATATGTGTCTGTGTTTCCTAAATTATTTATAGTAATAATAAAAACAATAAAGCACTTCCCCCTACTTCCCTATTATGGAGGGGGAAATGTCATGGTAAGTAATTTCTGGCCATTTTTCAATTAGATGGGCGTGAAATTTAATTCTCTGTCCTGAAGAGTCATATTTATATTCTATGGAAAATCTAAATGGGAAGTGTGCTTCATACCTGAAACTTTCAGACAATGATAATGGAAATTTCTACAGATAGAGGTTGTGAATTCTACAAAAAAGAAGGGTCACGTGAAATGAAAGGTCACATAGGTTATGACAAAAACCAGCTTTGTTGGGCAGGGCAGTCCATTTGGGAAGGAGATTTCTGAATACCACATTGTTGTTATTCTGAAGATTGGCACCTCTTGATTTGACACTTAGCCCTGTTTCTTCTTACTCACCAGCACAAAGTGAGCCACATCTTGGAAACCAGAAGAAAGAGTAATTGGAGGGAATGGGGAGAGAAGGAAATGGTGACAATAATGAGAAAAACTTCCTGGCCACAGCTCAGAACAATGTTATCAGGCCCATAAATTTGGTGCTAATTTTATCTATGGAAAATCACAAAAATGAGCCTAAATGCCTCCTTTCCTGCTCCAAGCACAAATTTTGACTCAAAATTTAGCCCAGAGCAGGGAAAATGAGCCAAATGAATACATGTACTTAGCTAAATCCCTCACAAAGGGGCTTTCAGTCTTTCTACTCAGCATAAGAACGTAACTCCTGGCTCTTGTACTGAAGTGATTCATGAAAAAAAAGCTAAATATGTTTTCATAAGAAGCAAGTCAATGTGTCAGAAGAATATGATTGTCCTAATCCAGTTTAACTTTTAACCTCAATAAATAAGCAAGAGAAGTTTGCAACCTGAAACTTTCTTAGCAGTGAATGTTTCTCTTGCTTTTTACTCCTGAAGAGTTTTTCTTTTTTATACTGGGGATAAAGAGATAGTATAATTCATCAAAATTTCATCCCTACAGGAATCTGGACACCCCCAAAAAGATGAGCTAGTGAAAGAAATTATGAAACCTTCTTTCACAAATATTTTTTAAAAAGAGGCAGGCACCCATTTGGATACAACATAGGGTGAGAGCAAAAAATAAATGCAAGGCCCTCTGGAAGACATGCTCTGTCATGAAGAAGAGTAGAGAACTGGGGGGGTCAGGACACAGGGCTCCCCCAGTTAGGCAACCCTAAGCAAGACCCTTAACTGCCCCAGGACCCTATAAGAAATGAAGAATAGACTGATGGTAGCCAGAGGTAGGGGAGGGTGAGATGGGTAAAGGTGGTCGAAAGGTACAAACATCCAGTTACAAGATAAATATGTCCTGGGGGTGTAATGTACAACATGGTGACTTTAGTAAACAAGACTGTGTGGTACATTTGACACCTGCTAAGAGAATAGATCTTAAAAGTTTTAATCACAAGAAAAATTAAACTTGCAATTATGCTTGGTGACAGATGTTAACTAGACTTACTGTGGTGATCATTTTGCAATACAGACATATCATGTTGTACATCTGAAACTAACATAATGTCATGTCAATTTTATCTCAGTTTTGAAAAAAATGGGTTGACTAAATGATTTTATTTGTGCCTTCAGGTTCTAAGATCTATTAGTTGTAATAAACTAGTAGGAGTGAAAAGGTATAAACCAACATATATAGTAGGATCTCATTTTTGTAAAATAAAGCAGAAACATAGTAATAACACAAAACTTGTACATAAGGCAAAGCCTGGAATGAACTTCAACAAAAATCATACAATTTTGTGGCTTTTTATAATTCTCGATCCAAGTCCTTGGTCAGTACTATAATATTCCAAGTAATGTCTTCTTCCATTCTGTGCTTTGATTTTTTTACTCTTCTAAAGGTGTCATTTGATGCATTAAAATATTAATTTTACTGTAGATTAATTTATTGCTTTCCCCCTTTAAATTAAGACCTTTTCTGTCCTGCTTTGCCTCCACAAAGACATTAAGCAATCAATGGCTTATTTTTATCTTTTTGTCTCAAGTTGTTCAACCAGTAGACCAAAGGAAGTACTATACCCAAGGGAAAATTTCATAAGATGGCATGCCTTACTTTAAAATGGAACTTCCATGAAGAAAGTCCAGGAGAAGGCTTGATGATCTGTGTTTCACTTTGTCCCTGTAAGTCCCCTGGCATGTTGATTCTCTCTGTCCTTCTTGTAGACTCTGAATCTCACAATGCATCATTGGCAAATTCCCCTGTTTTGTCAACCTTTACGCGCTCTTGACTCTCTTAAACTAACTGAAACTATCTGCTGTCCCACCTATCCCTCCAAACAAGAGTGAATCCATGTGGTTTTGAATCCTAAAACGTATATAATTTGGGGAGCCCTTTTAAAGAAAGGAAAGAAATAACATAATAAAATACAAATTACCTGGGACAATTTGTGTAAAAATAGCAAATATAAAATGCCCATAGCTGACTTGGGAAGGACCAGTACAAGTGAGGGGTCTGTCCACAGGTCACAACTCCCTCCACAGCCTTCTCAGGACAAGGCTGTTTTGTCCTCATGCATCTCTGTACACCAGATCCTAGAGTTAGGGTATATTGCTATTTTTAAGTCATTTCTTAGCCTTCTTTCATCAAAAGCCCCCACTCCTTCATGCCATCAGACCACTCATCTACTTTTTCTCCCTATTTTTATTACTAACCTACCTTTGGCCACTTACTCTTTTATTGAGGATTTTTGCTCACTTAGGACTTCACTTAACATCCACAAGACGATCTGTCCAACACCATTGTCCTCCATCTTTTAAAACTGCTCCTTTGATCCCATTTCTCTCACTAGCCACCACTGCATCTTCTGATCGCCTTCCCAGTAAATAATCTCACAAGATCTTTCTATAGTGACTGTCTTCACTTCCTCACCCCAAATTCTATCTTTAACTTTCTTCAAATAAAAGAAAATGACCTTCTCAAGTCAATAATGAATCTCATGTTTCCTCATGTTTCCAAAAACAGTGATTTTTCTGTCTTCATCTTATTTGCCATCTGAGAGGTTGTCCACTTCCTCTTTAAAAAAACCAAACTTTTATTTATTTACTTTACTTATTTACTTTATTTAATCAGTTTATTAAAGAACCTCCATACTGTCTTCCATAGTGCATGCACCAATTTACATTTCCACCAATAGTGTAGGAACGCTTTCCAGCGTTTATTTTTTGTAAAGTTTTTGATGATGGCTGTTCTGACTGGTGTGAGGTGATAACTCCTTGTGGTTTTGATCTGCATTTCTCTAATAATTAGCAATATTGGGCATCATCAATCAAGAAATCTTGATTGATGCTTTTGTTAACAGAGTTTTTCTTTAGGCTCATTTACTTTAACAAGTGGTACCACCAGGTACCATGTTAGACATCATCCTTGATGATTCTCTTCTCATGCTCCACAACCAACACTTCAGTAAATTAAATCAGTTCCATTACACACTCTAAATCTGTTCACTTCTCTCTCCACCACGAACACGTTGATTCAAGCCACTGTCATCTCTCACCTGGACCATGGAAATAGCTGCCTGTTTCCAGTCTTGCCTTACTACAATGTAGTCTCTACCTCACTGCAAGAAACTTTTGCCTTAAGTTCTGTTTATTTTTGGTCAAAGTAATATATACACATAATCTTAAAATATGTGATAGTATTTAAAAACTTCAGAGAAAATCAGCAGTTCTTAGCTTATCCCTTCTTATACTTTATTTTCTTGTTTCTTCTGGTGTTTGCTTCCACATTTGAAATAATATAAATGCTATTTCTTTTTTTTCCCCTTTTTTCTATTAAAATTGAAGTATAGTCAGTTTACAGTGTTGTGTCAATTTCTGGTGTACAGCATAATGTTTCAGTCATACATGTACATACATATATTCCTTTCATATTCTTTTCCATTTGCAGATCATTGCTATTTCTTGTTTGGATACTATCTATTGACTTCCTTTCATGGTTGGTGAAAACCCAGCTCTCCATTCCCCATTTCCTTTGGTAATATTCCTATTACTATTTTTATTTAGTATTTTCTTATTAAACAACTTATCAGAGTTTTCATTATTTTATTTGTTTAAATATATTTTAATTCTAGAGCTAGAGTAGTTTCCTTTTACACGTATTTTGTGTTTTACTTGACGGTGTAGTTTTTTCGAAACTCTGCATGACTCATATATCTGAAAATAATTTTATTTTATACTCAAACTTGAAGATAATTTGGCTGGTATAAGATTCTAGATAGAAAATACTTTACTTTGGTGTTTTTGTAAGCATTTCTCCATTGCCTTTTGTCAGTGGCATTGTTAGTATTAAAAAGTTGAATGTTATGTTAAATGTTGTTCCCTTGTGACCTGCTTTTTTTTTCTCCAGAAACTTCTAGAAGCCTCTCTACCATGGTGCTCTTATATGTCATGATGGTGTGTCTTGAAATCTTCATTCTTTTTCATTCATTCTTCTGGGAATTTTGTTAACTTTTTCAATCTAAGGATTTATACCCTCAAATTGAAGGAAATGATCTTGTGTTATTTCTTTCACCATATGGTCTCCTATCTTTCCTCAGCCTCTGAAATACTCTGAGTTAAATGTTAGATACCGTAATTCCCCCAGGTTTTGTCTTTTCTTTTTTTTTTTCCATCATTTTGCTTTTGGTTCTAAGTTTCTGAAGATTTCGTCAACTTTATTTTCCAATTGTTTTCTTGTATTTTTCATTTTGTCTAAGTTTTTGTCTTTGTTCCTTTGTTATAGTTTGATCTCATATTAGATACATATCTTATCTTCCTAATGATAGTAAAAACTTTAAAAAAATGTACTGTTCTTTGATTTACCTCTGTTTATCCAGGACTTTCTTTTCTGTTAGCTTTTATCTCCCTTTTTTTTATTGGAGAGATAAATTGGAGGTTTTTCCTCAAATGTCTTATTATCTTCTTGTTAATATTTCATAGTGTTTGAAAACCAGAATTCATCCATAACCAGGATGGTCAAGTGGTGAACTTCACTTTAAGTTTCATAGTCAGGAAATTATGTGAAGATATGTTCTCTAGTACTTTTCAGTTTCTTCTGAGCAAAATTTCCTGAGTTTCTTACCTGTGGAGTACAGACCAACATTCACACAACAGGCATATAAAAGAGGATGGGAATTACCCTACTCAGTTTACAGGCTTTAGATTAATCTCCTATTTTCATCCTCAAGCTGCACACACATGTCCTTCACTCTGCCATGTGCCCCTGATGCCTTTGCCACTCAAGTTCAAATTCTCCATAGAATACATGCTCCTTTTTTTTTTTCGCCATGGAGGACATCATCTTGATGCAGTGTTGGGCAGGGGCATCTGGAGACTAACAGCTTCCAATACAAACTTTAACCCAGTCCATCTATTTCCAGACCTTTGCCCTACTGTGCTCTCCCTAGTATCTCATGACTTCAGGTCCTGGGCAGTAAGAATTGACTCACTCCTCTTTGGTATTCTCTGCACATACTTTAGGTTATAATTACCTGTTTCTATCTAAGTCAGTTACCATTCTTCTGTCCATCTGTGTCCATTTTCCAAAAATATGTGGTCCTGCTTTAGCTCCGGCTGTCTCCTCTCCTTGTATCATTGTTCTTAAAGATTTATTCCTTTTTTCATCCTTTACTATTATTTCAGCAAAGTCTTTGGAATAAAAGGAGAAAACTACATGTGGTCAACCATTCTTCCATAACATCGCTAACCAAAATAATGACTTGTGTTTAAAATTCTCCAGTGGATTTTTATCACATTAAGGGTAAAATCCAAACATATCATCATGATGTTCAAGGCCCCCGTGATCTGGTCCTATATGTCTTTCTACCCAATCACTTATCCCTCTCCCTTCAGTTACTACACACCAGCCACTCTGACCTTTGTGTTGTTTAAGGACTTTGTCCTCTAAACTTGCTTCTTTCTGTTATTCAACTAGGTCTTGGCTCCATAGCACTTTGGAGAAATCTTCCTGACTTTCCTAACCCAGAGTACTGCTCCCTTAGAACATTCTACTATATCAGTTTGTTTAATTTTTTTTCAGAGTTTTTTCACTGGCTGTAATTATCTCATATATTTATGTGTTAACCAGTTTATTTTCTGTATCCTCCCCACTAGAATGTCAGTTCATAAGTGCAAAGTCTTTATCAAGCTCACCCACTGCAGCGTTTCCAGTGCATAATACCCTGTAGATAATAAATATTTACTAAATTAGAAGTATTGGAATGTTACTGCCTTCATATGTCAGACTGGGCAAAATATGCTTATCTCTTCTGGTACGAGAAAGGAATTTTGGAGTACCTTCGAAGAATTTATTCTAGAAGATTTTCTCTAAAATAAGATATTGTAAACCAGGAGAAAACTAAGGATGCAGGTAGGGGCCCAGTATTTGAAAAAGGAACCAGGTTAGTGTGTGTCATGTAAACCAAGGGAGAAGTGAGTGGGCAGAATGAAATATCACACACTGCTAATGTGTCAAGGATATAGGACTGAAGACAGATATACAGATTTAGTGACTTTTAAGAAAATTTCAAGCTGCATTCTAATTTCTGATCCTTTTTCAAAGTTCAAGGTCTGGCAGTCCCTGTGATCTGGGCATCATCTCCTGCTACTTTCCAAGGCCCCCAACTCTTCTTTCTCCAATAGCCTCACCACTCACCATTCCTCATTTGAAATTGTTTCAGATCTCTTCATCATTCTAATTGGACTTTGTAGCATATTTAATTTTTCTATACACTTTTTACAATAAAATGAATTTAAAGAAATATTTTTTAATACTGTGTTATGTGGCCTGGCTAGTACGAATTTATTCACTATTATTTGTATCTTCTCTTGTGCAAACCATCTTTGCCAATTTAGCTATTTGGATCTTTGTATTTTGATAAATATTAAGGTTCATTAAGGGGGAAGGGTATAGCTCAGTGGTAGAGTGCATGCTTACCATGCAGGAGGTCCTGAGTTCAATCCCCAGTACCTCCATTAAAAAAAACAAATAAATAGATAAATAAATAAATAAATAAACCTAATTACCTCCCCCCTTCAAAAATTTTTTATACATTGGAGGCATGAATTCTGTCAATCTGTTAATATTTTATCAAAAACTTTTTCTTCTTCTGTTGGTCTCTAAAGTTTTATTGTTTTTAATTATTATGAAGCTTAAAAGTCAATACTATCATATGTAGTAAGTGGTGGACAAATGTGTGACTTTGCCTCTGTAATATTTTGTGTTGTTCACTAGTTAGAAAACTGTCATTCCTCCAGAGTTGAAATAAATTTTATGTTGTGGTTTCTGGTGTTTTTCCATGGCTTAAAAAAAAAAGTAACACTTTCCTTGGTGCCTTTTGACTTATGGTATAAAATACCATAAAGCTAATTATACCCCAAATACTTCTGAGTTAATGATTACTTTCCCAACTGCTTTATTCAACTTCATTTTTCAGAGGCAGTAGAGTGTAAAGGTTAAGATATGGCTCTGGAGCCCAATGGCCTGGATTTAACATTAGCTGCAGCTCTAGCTGGTCTTAGGAAAGTCACTTCAATTTTCAGCTCCTTCATCCCTAATGGTGTCCTCATCAGTTCCCTGGGACAATGAATCCAGTCAATTCTGTACCCAGCACATGTAAGCGATCAGTAAATGTTAGCTATGTGACAATTCAAAATTCATTAGATTCCCTTTCTGCCCTCTTTTACAGTGCCATCAACACAGAGGCCCATTTCTGTCCATCACATTATTTTAATTCTTGTTCTCTCCATGTGGAGGCTGTTTTAGAGTGGTCTTGTCTATTAACACCCCTTTTCAGAAAATCATATATAAAATGCACATGTGGTACCTGACTGACTTGACTAAGACGTCAAGGAGCTTAGTAGGTAGAACACAAAGTGTGACTTGAAAGAGGAAATAAGGAAGAGTTTGGAAGATGCCCACCTAGTCCCTTGGGCTTTGGCAGTGGGGCAGAAATGAATGTGATGCTTCCATAGAGGAAAGGGACGGAGGGAGGGTTTTAGATGGGAAGAGGAGGAGGAAGACAAATTTAGGAGGTGTTCTAGGAGAGAATCTGTGTGAGAAGAAAGCAAAGAGGCCAGAAAAGCAAAGAACAGGACAACAGTAAGTCAATGAAAGAGAACCGCATGGCCAGGCAGCTCCAGTTGGCTCTGTGACTGGCCAGGGAGCCAACCAAACCCCTCCGCACCCAATAAGGAGGCTGTGCTGACACGCAGCCTGCGATGTGAGAGCAGGACTGTAAAACAGGAATTTAGCGCTAAGCTCTAGTCTATTTTACTTAAGCGTTTAAAGGCAAAGGGACTGATTTTTTTTTAATTGGCTGGATATTCGAGATATTACATTTTGCTCTAAAACTTTGGAACCGCCATTTATTGGTGCCTCCACGTATTTCTCAGGGTATACTGACATGAATTTTTAAAATCGTTTATATTATTTCAAACTCACCCAAATCCCCTTGACCATTATTGCAGCATGCACAATCATTTTGGCCTTATTCCACGTTTGAAATTATGATTTGTACTTCCTGATGGATTTCTCTCAAATTGCATTTTGACTCGTAACCTTTCTTTTACATTACCTAAGAGCACATGGTGTTACCTTCCCTTCAGAGAGGCTGGGTGTTTATTGCGTGGGAAAACTCCACTGGGCCTGATCCCGAGTTTGCCTTAAGGCCCATCTATGCCATTTAAAGTAATCCAGTATGCACCTTGGTAATTGAAATCCTCCCATTACCCTCCCTCCAGCCCATTTAAATATTTCTCTTTCAGATGCAATTACGTCAGGAGGTAAGCCAAATGGTTTGGGAAAGATGTGGGCATTTCCAACAAGATGGCTTTTGGCTGCCCACCAAAAAGCTGGCCTGTGCTCATAATTCCACGTTGACTCTCTTCTCTGCAAGGTTTCCACTTATAAAGAGCACTGTCAATCCTGCTCTTCATTCTAGGGGAATGCTTAGGGCTTGGGTTGACCAATGCTCATGGTGGCGACCACTGAGGGAAGGTTACTGTAGATTTCTTCATTGCTTGATTTTTTGCTGCCAAAAAAATTCCCCCATTGTTTCTTGTCCTCAGTTGTAAGTCAAAGCTTTTCATGTCATGCGAAGCAGTATCATGTCCTTTTAAACATCTTACACCTCTTCGATGCAATTTTGTCTGGAGTGCGATCTCACTGCATAGTACAAGTTTGAAAAGAAAGGTTTTGGATATTAATAAAACTAGCAAATTTCTAGGCTAAGGCATCAATAATGCCCTTTTAATGTGCTTGAATGGATGTATATTCTGTATTTATGTATCAACACTGCCGAACCACAGCAGGGGAACTAAATAATTCAATGGAATGCAAAGGGAAAATTAATGATTCTATATTCTAATCACTGTTTTATGAAAAGCTTTTCATTTAGTTCTTAAAACTGCCTCGCAAATCGACACTTGGATAATGCAACAAAGTTATATTTAACTCTAGACCTCTCCTTACATGCCAGATTTCAAATATGCTTCTAAGTAGATGTCCTTTTGGGGGCTCATTATGACTATTCCTGTCTTCCCTCAAAACAAACCTATTATGCATGTTCATTTCCCTTCTTTCCTTGAGTCCTGGCCGTCAGATTTACACCTCTTCCAATCCATGTTATCTTGGCCTGGAGCAGCAATATCACACCCAAGGACAGGGAGCCTGAGCTTGACAGATGTTGCCAGAGAGGACCGAATAAATGTTTTCTTACGAGATCGATCCACTCAAGTGATAGCCCACGACAGTATTACAGATGAGGTTTATAATGAGCTACTGGATGAATTCTTAATAAATCACTGATTGCAATCCAACTGTGCTGAAATACAGAGAAGGGACCTATAGCCAAATCACACAGACAGGTACACCCCAGCACCAGCCCAGGGATTTGGGATGAGAGAGTGAGGCTGCGTTGCTCTTTGGCAAAGGGTAAAGGTTATGCAACAAACAGGCTTGTCATCTGTCCAGTCATCATGGCTTCTGTGCCCAGGGAGGAGCTAGTTAGAAATCCTACTAAAAATGCATCAATTTCTTAGTCCAAAGCCCCCCACCCAATCATGCACCTTTACGGAAACACAGATAATCCCCCAAACAGAGGGTACCGATATGCCCCAAAAGCTCTAGATTTTACCAGAAAGGTAAGTGGTAGCAAGAGCCTAATAGCTATTCTGTGCATAAATAGAAGAAATGGGGCATTGTATCTGTTTTTCTGATGTCTTTCATGGGCACCAAAATCGATATTAAAATTACCCTTGAGAAAAAGATTTAAATACTAAGACTATGAGTTTCATGTCCCTGAGGACTCTGACATTTAAGAACATAAAGTTAGTATTTTTAGCTCAGCTCATACTAGGTAACAAAATATATTCTTCTTGTATATAATATAATGTAGAGGTGTGTGCATGCTTGTGTGTGTGTGGAGAAAGAGAGAAATGTGTTTGAGCTTAAACACAACATTAATGGGCACAGAAATGTCCAACATTCTAAAGTGTAACACTGACAAAGATTTATTTAGTGGCTTTGGCAAGTTATTTGATTTTGGGTTGCTTCAGTCTCAAGTTGTAAACCCTAATACTAAGACATCTTTCGGAGTTCATGTCCTCTAATTTAGTTCTAAACATTTCTGAAGCTGTGATTTAATCAAATTTATTCACCTGGCCCCAAAACAATGGGAGGCAAAGCATGAGACTTTACCTAAAAGGCAAAAAACAAGCAATGGAATTCAAGTAGTTGGGTTGAAGAGAATAATTTTCTCAGTGGAGTTGGTGAACAGAATCCCCTTTAATATTAAAATCTTTATGAACTTGCAGTATTGATGGGCCCAGAGCCCAGATAAATAGAATACATCAAAGTAGAAAATTGTATCCAGTGAAACAAGATCCTTATAAAAGGAAGCCAGCGGCTTGGGGCTTAGTCCCTGGGGCTTGGTCCCTGGGGCTTTTTCCACCACAAGACTTGAGCAGCAACCACCACCACAGAGCCCTTGGGGCAGCTCCATATCAAGGATTTGGTGCTTGGGAAGCAGATGAGTGGGCCTGACATTGCTCAGAGTTCCAGAATAACTCGCCACTCCTTATGAATTCAAGTTACTTAGAATCTGGTCTGAATGATTTGGCTAATCAAAATTAAGTTTTGGGGCATTATCTGGAGAAATCATGTCTTTCCGAGAAAGTTCAACCCAAAAGTTATTAAAATACATTCTCAAGACTTAAAAAAGAAATTCCTAATTTTAGAAGGATACTTATTCTATGACCTATGGAAGTATTTAAATCTCAATTCCCAGAATGATGAACTGCCCTTTTCTTTTTGGCAGTTTTATGTAGAGTATGAAATGTTCTGTTTGATCATTACACATGAGTATTATACATGAAGGAAAAAAAAAAACTTCACTTTTTTTTTGTCTTTATTCTGTCTTCCTATTCCAAGGATGAACCCTACACTAAGATGTGAGTTTTGTAATCTCTCTCAACAAAAATTATTTCAGGGAAAACTTAGAAAGATTGTTACAAAAATTGACCCTTTCTCAGAAAGCTGAAACTAAATGAAAATATAAAGCAAAACTATTCAGGTCAGGGCAGAAAACACTTGGGACTACTTTTCAAAGAATAGTTCTCATTTAGGTATGAGGAATTGGCACCAACATGAATCAAAGGTAGAAGTGGAACCTAAATCAAGACTCCTTAAGTCAGGTGCACTGAACAGTCAGATGCAAAATAATATCCTTCCCTCCTGTGCTTGATCTGGTCCACAGCAGGGTCCTACAGGAGAGATGAATGCATTATAAATATCCTTCTCCATTCACTTGCTTACTCACGTATTTTTCATTCATTTTCCACGTTGAGATTAATTTAACAAGCACTAAGTCAGGCCCTATGTTGTGTGTCTCAGATACAGAGGTGAATACAAGATAGTCTTCATCTTTAATAT